TGGAGTCTAACACACCTGCCACGTGGTTAGAACTCACAACCTCAGTGTTGACAGGCTAGTGATACTGTAAATTAACTACTTAGACTGCTCAGCCACCAAGGCCCAAAAAATTGAAAATTGAATCATGCTAATTACTGAAGCTCTGGCTACAGAGTTGTCGGTACCCTTAGCTACCAATGGTACAGACCAAGAAGTATTGCTAGTTGAAATAAATTTATCTGAACCTCTGTATGATGAATGGTCTGTGACCCTTTTTTGTCATCAAACTTGACTTCTACTTTTACCAAAATAGGAAAATTTGATAAAATAATCAACAACAAAACAAACAAACAAAAACATGTGACAGAGCATTTGCTACCAAATTTAAGTTACTTGATACACTTCTGATCCTCATTAGGAGTTATGGTAGATGATATTTGGCTTTGACCACTTAATTCCTACTCTGTGAACACAATTTCTCTAACAACACCATTTGACAGAAAGCTCTCTTATTGGTAGGATTGTTTGTTAGCATGTATTGTTGACCATATAATACTGTCATTTTGATTAGACCAATTTTATGGGAGTTATGGGACTTTGAACACTTTTTTCTACTCTGTGAACACAAATTCTCTTAAACCATTTGACAGAAAGCTCTCTTATTGGTAGGTTTGTTTGTCATCATGTGTTGTTGGCCATATAATACTGTCATTTTGATTAAACCAATTTTATTGGATTTTTACCATTTTTTTACTATTGTACCACAATGCCACATTGTGAAACACGAATTATTTGTTCATTTATACAGCGGTTGGGGACATTTCCTTACAGCCTAGCAAATCATATATTTCCTTTGCCTAATTCTTAGACAACCTTACAGTGTAAAAACATATTGTAATGAAATAAATATGAAAATAATGAGTTGTGGTATGATTACCAATGAGAAAACTATCCATCTAAGTCCAAAGGACATTTAGTTTGTAAGTAGAATTTGGCTGTAGTGCTAGTACAACATCTTATTTTCTCATTTAATTTCTGTTGTTTTTTTTAAAACTTTATATGCACATGTAGACGTTTCTTTTCACAGTAACAATCATAAACAAGTTTTGTATTTTTTAGTATTGTGAAGTTTGATTAATTAGAAAATAGCACTTTATGTCATTAACATGCAATAACTAAGAATTGTTCAACCAATGCGTTTCAAATTTAAATTATTTTACTGATGACAAAATGAGTTCAAGTTCAAAAATATTGCCGTTAAGGAGTTACAGTCCATGATTGATTGAAAAATGACCTGTTTGCTGTTATAATGGCAGCCTCTTGTTAAAATTTTGTTTCAAATATTATTGTTATTCATTGTTTTAATGCTTCTTTTACAAATTCTTCATTTTAATTCTTTTACTAGTAGTTTGCATTTCAAATTTTGGTAAAATCTTGTAAATCTTGCATTTTCAGTATTGTTCATAATCACCTTTAAAGATTAAAATGGGAATTGACTTTTATTTCAAGGAATGTGTTTGGATAAGAATAATTCTTGTTCAGAAATTCCAATAGGGAACACATTTTACATTATTGAAGTAATTAAACCATTTTTTAAGACGTTTGGGCCACTGGCCTTCTTCAGTTTCTTTATTATCCTTCTAAACTACATGGTAGACATGTCACTTTCACAATTATTAAGATTTGACATGTCTACCATGTAGTTTAAAAGGATAATAAAGAAACTGAAGAAGGCCAGTGGCCCAAACATCTAAAAAAAAAATGGTTTAATTACTTCAATAATAATAATAATTTGATTTATTATAATTGTACTGAGGAATAAAAAAATAGAATGATGAAGAAATAAATCTTCCTCTTTTATTCCTTATTATTTAGTATTTAGAATGTACAGTCAATTGGTCATTTTCTTTTTGATTTTTATACAGATGCAGAAGGTGTTTATGCATCCACTTTTTAGCTCACTTGGCCCAAAGGGGCCAAGTGAGCTTTTCTCATCACTTGGTGTCCGTTGTCTTCTTTGTCCGTCGTCGTTAACTTTTACAAAAATCTTCTCCTCTGAAACAGCATGGCCAAATTTAACCAAACTTGGACACAATCATCACTGGGGTATCTAGTTTAAAAAATGTGTCTAATGACCCCGCCTGCCAACCAAGATGGCTGACAAGGCTAAAAATAGAACATGGGTAAAATGCAAGTTTTGTCTATTTTTTTGAAAACCATTATAATTACAGAAAATCTGACAGGAAAAAAATGTTCAGAATGTTGAACTCTACCAATTGTCTATATACGTCAAAACTGTTAGATAACTACTTATAGGAGTTATTGCCCTTAAATGACAAATTTTACCATTTTTTGTCATTTTTGCCTATTATCTTGAAAACTATGATAGACAGAGAGAAATTTTAAAAAAGCAAAAATGATCAGCAAGACAAGTTCTACTAATAAGTCTCTATGGTTGAAATCGTCAGACGACTCCTTTTTAGAGTTATTGCCCTTTGATGACGATTTTTACCATTTTTTTTGCGTTTTTGCCTTATATCTTAAAAATTATAAAAGGTAGATAGAAACTTAAATAAGCAACTATGATCAGCAAGACAAGATCTACAATTAAGACTTTGAAGGAAATCGTCCGACGACTCCTTATTGGAGTTATTGCCCTTTACTAACAATTTTTACAATTTTTTTTGTGTTTTGCCTTATATGAAAAAAAATGTAAGAGATAAATAGACACTTTAAATCACTAAAATGATCAGATAGGCAAGATCTACTGACAAGTCAAATTTTGCCAATATAGTTAGTAGACTGTCACTCTTTATAGGAGTGATTGCCCTTAAATGAGGATTTTTTACCTTCTTTTGTGTTTTGAGCAAAAACTAAAGAAGATAGAGAGAAACTAAACAGATTAAATGATCAGTAATACAAGATCAACAAAACAAAGATTTTTTTCATGAATTCTATTCTCGTCTACAATGTTGGAGAGTGTCCTTTGTTAAATATGCACACAGACCAAGGTGAGTGACACAGCCTCTATAGAGCCTCTGGTTTAAATATTAAAGACATTTTTTCCAGGTTGTCTTTCAGATAGTGACATTATTAGAACTGTTACCTGTAGAAGTCACTTTTCCACAGATTTCTGTTATTATCAGACTAATTCAACTTCCATCACTGTGTCAAAGGTAAATGAAATAGATCAACGTATAAACTTATTGTGCAAAGAGAAAAAAAGACATTCAAGTACTGTACACAGAAAAATGGATAAATCAAGGATATGTATAGTTAGTCTTACTATAAAAATCCTTTTGAATTTAAAACTTAATACATGGTTAATACTGGGCATTTTAGATGTTTGTATTGTAAGAAAGGGAAACACCCACAATCAGCAGAAAAACTGTCATTGAACACACAATATAACTTTATTGACACTTTATTTATGGTATGGTTTGTTTTACAGTAATACAATACAGAGTAGTACAGATCTGAGTAGACTATCTGCAATGCATGGCTTTGTTCAGATTAGTGGAATTATAATAGGGATGACTGCTTCATCTAAGTATACGTAAGTTTAACATCATATATGAATTTTTGGAAATGTGGGTTATGCATCAAAGAGACATCAACTCAACAACACAAAAAAAACCCCAAAAGATTGACCATTAAAGTTTTCCATAAACAGCAAGTTTATTAACAGTGGAACATGTTATTTTTGTGACGTGTATAACGTTTTTGTCCGTCCATCGGGCACAACTTTCTGGATATTATTTAAATGCAAAATGTCCCCATTTACAGTGCTTTGTACCTTCATAATTTGTCATCAAAAGGCTTTCGTGATTAGCTTTCTCGATTAACGAATAAAGCATTATGTGTGATGTTTGAATAAAATAAATTTGAGTGCAACCTTTGAAAAACAAGTCAAACTGCATGCCACTCATGATCTGCATTTTGAGTCAAATTTGCTAGCTAACGCTAAAATAAAAAAAATTGCACCATACAACTTTTTAACAACCAATATTAAATTCGAGTCAAATCATTTTTCTAGCACTGAGCAAATTTTTAGCCGTGTAATATGAAGTGAAATTAAACTCTTGATAATTGACTTTTTCCTATTACGTCACCTAAGTAGGAGAGTAAATCATATGTTTGAAGATTGCCAAGCTTCCAGCATATTAACAGACCTAGGCAACTTCTATTTGGTGTAATACTTTAAATGACTTGTAAGATGAAGAAGGCTAAATTTCTAATCCATTTTATTTTTTTCTTTATAGTGGTTGTCAAAATTATCTTTTTTTTTATCAAGAATTAACCATTTGATAAGTTTTGACTCATTCTTGTCCTGTATAGGTGTCAGACCACCAATTCACCCACTCCAATTTAGAACTGTGTAAAAGTAGCCCTACTCTGACAAAAAATAGTGCTTTTGATGTCATTGTTTACTTAAACTAACCAACCAAATTGCAGATATGAAACTTTTGGTGAAAGAGAAATATATTTAGACCATTTTGATCCAAAATTTACTTGTCTATGAATTTGCATTAAAAATTGAGGATTAATGCGCTCCATAGTCTACTAAATTAATATTTCCAGAAAACCAGGGGTTATTTTTTAGTAGTACTTGTCTCCCAAAAGGCAGTTCTTCTTTGTAAGACTTTAAACATGGGTTGAAAATTGGCATGTAGAAAGGTGACACATGTACAATTCAGGATATATCTGGTTTCTATGAAGTTAAACTTTAGGTAAAGTATTTGGAAAGCTGTGAAAATTGCAAAATTTGGTTGAATAGATAGGGATTTTGAATTGGTGGTCTGACACCTATATATTCAGAAATTAATGCGTAAATTTATTATTGCGAATCCTTGACCACTTGCAAACATGCGAAATCTAATTGATGTGATTGCAAAAATGTTATGAAGGAAACTCACTACTGAAATAATGAATACAAGTTTTTATTATTGTGAACCTGATAATGTCACATTTTTTGCATTAATAAAATTGTTGCAATAATTTCTGAATTTACAGCACTTGAATATTGGCCAAATACCAATGCAACTAACAATCAATCTAATGTTGTCTTCTGATGTTTTAGTCAGAGTACTAAATATAGATGTCCTGATGTAGAATGTGAAGGTCATCATGGAAACCAATTTATCAGAGTTCATGTCACAGGTGCATCTGAAACACAGACAATAAGGTGATGTAAATATGAACTTAAACTTTTGATATAAGTATAATAGATGAATACCAGAAGTTTAATGACAGATCATATCAATAAAAAAAAATTGATAATTTTCTTAACAGTTTTTGAAATTGCTCATTAAATCTTAACAATAAACTTATACACACTAAATTCTAAATCTGGAACCAAAACTTCCTTTCATTAGTCTAAAATCTCCTTATGTAAAAATAGGGGAAAATTTGAATTGCTGTTCAGAATCATATACAGTATTCAAATCAATTCAAATGATTATCAGAAAGAATGCATTTGACCATATAAGAAGTCAGGTATCAATGAAGCTAAGGTCTGGTCTTTGGTAGCCATTTTTTGTGCCAGAATTTGTACACATATATATATACATTTGTTAATCTTTTTGAAGTAGTCTTTTACAAGTTGCTAGAAACTAATCAGTTTTAGAAATAAATGATTAAGTTTGTAAAAACATTATATAAAAATTCAAAAGGTATAATATAAAAAAATCGACAGACCCACATTGTTTGCATCCATTCCTGTGCGCACAGATTCGAAACTTAAATCAGCGTACACAAATTTATCAAAATAAATAAATAGGTTGTATAACTTACAGAATGTTTCTCTCAAGTATACTCAGAAGAAACATGAAAAAACACAAAGCTTTAGGTGTTTGACAGAAATATAAATGCATACCTGCCAATTTTCCAATTCTCCATGGGGATTTTTAGCGCAAGAGGAACTTATGCCCCTTTCTAATTGTCATAAGTGTTTTTAATCTACTACTGTATTGTTTGAATGAGTACGTATGTGCTGAATTCACTTTAAACTCATTTGAATGCCTGTTTTGAGGTGTTAAGTTTATAAAATAAAGAATTTCCAAATTCAGGTCAACACCTGTCATTGGGGATATCCTCCATAAATCGGGCTAATTGGCAGGTCTGTAAATGGCATACACTAGTGTCAAAATATTACCTCCCCTGCAATCACTGAAAGTTTGAACTTTTCAATGTTTGTTCTGTTTTAGCAATGACTCTATTCATTATAAATTCACAAGAAAAGCATTCTGGTAAATAGTAACAATAAAAATAAATTGAAATAAAAACAAAATTTCCCTATGATGATATCATTTTCCGCCTCAAAAAGCAAAAAACTAGTACAGCAGACTATAACAGCTTTGTGTAATATTGTTTTAGAATGTTGCTATGCAAATAAATTCCTGGAGTACCAACTTCAATTTATTTTTTTACTGGTTGTATACCTCTCTTGAACATTCCAATTATCTGTATATGTATGCAGCTAGATCAAAGAAGTTCAGAAAAAAAATACCAACAAAATGGATTAATATGCCACAAAGATTAACACTTTTGAAACTAAGTTGCTAAGTTGCTCTGCCTCAAACAAATGCTATAAAACTTATACACAATGCTTATTACCACAAAACACAGATCAACTTCGAAATTGAGTGGTGTCACTTTTACTGTTCATGAGTTATGCCCCTTTATAAACATAAAAATTGCTGAATTTTTCGTTTCCATTCTCTAACTTTAGTTTGCCTCAAACAAATGTTATGAAACTTATACACACTGCTTATAATCACAAAACAGTATTAACTAAGTGAATCCTACATCTGTATGAGGAAGTTGACTCATGCATTTTACAAGTGGTGGCATCTGTGGCCTTTCTCCATTTATTTAAATTTCAGTTTCACAAGCTTCTAATGCTTTTATGTCGATAAATAATGAAAATAAACATCAGGTATTGCATGCATATTTCTAATTACACAGTTCAACAAATACTTAGGTAGGTTTGATGCAAAGAAATGTAGGTTGAAAAGGAAAACACTAAACTCAACTGTTTTTATTTAGCCTTGGTGAATACTTAATCTTTGTATTCAAGCAAAAATGATTAAGGACAAGTAGTTAGTCAAAACACAGATGTTTATACAGAAATATAATATATATGTAACAGGCTGTAAGAATCCACCCAATGTTTGATTATATATTTTAGGAGTGACTTCAGCTGTACCTTTTGTTGGAGACGTTTGGAAGAAGAGAAGTCATGTAGATATTTATCGGGTAAAAGTTATGTAATATATCATTATTGTAGGCTACTCAAGGGTTATTGTTTATGCTTATTATTTTGGTCTCATCATAAGTAAAAAAGTCCACCATGAAATTTTGTTGAATTTGAAATGAAAGGGGAAATATAAGCTTTTGCAATCACTTCGTTCTAACTTTAGGTAGCCACAACCAAATGTTATGAAACTTACACACAATGCTTATTACCACCTAACACATATCAAGTTTGAATTTGGGTGGCGTCACTTTCAGGGTTCATGTCCCTTTATAAATGGGAAAAATTTTGAATTCGGGTGGCGTCACTTTCAGGGTTCATGTCCCTTTATAAATGGAAAAATTGATGAATTTGACATATATTTATAGGAGGGGCATCTGTGTCCCATGGATGCATTCTTCTTTTATTGTGTTTTTTGTCACGCCTGTGACTAAAATCACAGTATGCGAGACATAGGGATTACTATCTGGGGGCAGTGTCAGTTTGAACTATTTGTTAAAAGCTTTATATTTCAGAAGGTAGAAGACCTGTATGCTTCATACCTTGTATGCAGATACTTTATGTTACGAAGTTTCCATCTGTCATATGTCCGTTTTCTTTGACCACATTTTCATGGTTCAGCAACTGCTTGAAAAAAAATTATAGATTTTTGGCATGTGAATTTCTCGTTTATTATGAGTAATAGGAAAACTATACAGTCTAACCTGCATTTACGGTCACCTCATTTCAGCGGTGCCCTGCCTCTAATGACCACTTTCAAACCCTCCCAAACATTTTCTCCATATGATTTAGCTCTATTCAGCGACAACCTATCTAATGCAGTCAGTGGTCACCCTTTCAATTTAAGACTGTATCACCAACTTATATCTCCACAAATATTTACATATATCAAATGTTTTCTTCAAATTTACAGTGCCATTTTTTATTCCACTGCCGCAAGAATCATAACTCTATCGATTGAAAACACTAAAACATTTTGCCCCAATCCTGACCACAGGTGATGTTGGAATCAGAATTTTTGGGAACCTTGTTTAAAAGGTCACCTCTCTTAAGCGGTCACTTTTGATACTTCCAAAGAGTGACTACTTAATACAGGTTTGACTGGATACTATATTTGGTATATGGGTTCCTTGCATCATCTACATGTCAGTCAAATAGCGTTCACCTGACCTTGACCCCATTTCATGGATCAGTGATCAAGTTTAAAGTTATGTGATTAGTATAAAAATAAGGAGATGTGGTGTGATTGCCAATGAGACAGCTATCCACCAAAGTTCAAATGAAGTGGATGTAAGCAATTATAGGCAACCATATGACCTTCAACCATGAGAAAAACTCAAACCATATAGTCAACTATAAAAGGCCCTGACATGCAAAATATGAAACAATTCAATTGAGAAAACTAACTGCCTTTTTTATAACAAAACAATTTACTAAAAACAAATATGACAGACATGAACTAACGACCACCACTGAACTAATGTCAATTTCTCAGATACTATAAGCAGTAGGCCAACTATAAGTGGTGTATGAAACGATTGTAAGGGGTACATGTCAGTCTGACAGGTTTCATCGGACTTTGACCTCATTTTCGTGCTTCATTGGTCAGTGTTAAGTTTTTTGTGTTTTGGTCTGTTTTTCAAGTACTATAAGCAATAGGTCAACTATATTTGTAAGGTGAAAATGTCTGTCTAGCTGGTATCATCTGACCTTGACCTCATTTTCGTAGTTCATTGGTAAATGTTAAGTTTTTGTGTTTTAGTCTATTTCAATTACCAAAAGCAATAGGTCAATTATATTTGGTGTATGGAATAATTGTAAGGTGTACATGTCTGTCTGACAGGATTTATCTTACCTCGTCATGGATCTTTAAAAATATTAAGTTTATGTGATACCTTTTATCTTTGAGACTTTCAACATAAAATCTATGGTCAGTAATGGTCGTCTTTGTTCCTTAACTAGTACTAAAATCTTTTCCTCTGAAACTACTGCTTTAGGTTTTCTTTACTTGACAAAATCATCAGAAAACAGTTAATGTCCCCTGAAAATCACAGAGTAGGTACCTACCACAGAGTAGGTAAGCTATAAAACAATTATATACTCTGGAGTCAAAAGTCGGTTTATATATGAAAATAGTCTATTAAGGAGGGGCATAGAGTATGTGGGCTTGTTTATTAAAGGTTCTTTTGTTGTAAGAGAACAGTAGCTGTTATTATCCAAATCCCAAATATTTGGAATTACAGAGATCAAAATACTAGTAAAATACATTTTTCTTGCCAGGTTGCATGAAATGAAAACCAGCTTATAGAATGTGATGTTAGGCAGGGAAAAGTGGGTACCTGTTTTGTGTATAATTAACTACTCCTTCAGTTTTCAACTTAGATCCTAAGAACTTCATATATAGATTACACACTTATTTAAGTTATGGACATGATGTTATAGAATTGTTGGCAGATTTAAGTTATGGACATGCTGTTATAGAATTGTCGTCAGATTTAAGTTATGGGCACGCTGTTATAGAATTGTTGGCAGATTTAAGTTATGGACATGCTGTTATAGAATTGTTGGCAAATTTTTTTCCCCATTTTTCCAGAGTTGGGAACTTGAGTAATTTTTTGGCAAAATTTGCAAAAGACTACCCTTTTAGAGTAATCAACTTCTCCTACAGTTTTCAACCTATAGTCTTGAAACTACACAGATCTTTGCAAACCTATTTAGGTTGTGCATCTGATATTTTTAAGTCAAAATATATTTTACAAGTTATAATATATTATTAATGAAACATTACACTAGAATATAGGGATAAATCTATAACAATGACTAAATTTTAATGAACAATACTGGCATTTTAGTTTGTGCTCCTATACCCTGTTAATTAGAGAAGAATACCTTTATTTTTATAGGACTGCAAAATTGTATATTGGTATGACGTTGGCATCGTCTTCGTCGTCGTCTGAAGACACATTGGTTTTCGCATTCTAACTTTAGTTTAAGTGAATGGATCTCTATGAAATTTTACCATAAGGTTCAATACCACAAAAGTAAGGTTGGGATTGATTTTGGGGGTTATGGTACCAACAGTTAAGGAATTAGGGGCCAAAAATAAGCATTTTTGTAAATTCCAGACATAACTTGTGTGTTAGTGTATGGATCTCTCTGACATTGTACCACAAGGTTCCATATCACACAGGGAATGCTGGGATTGATTTTGGGGGTAATTGCCTCAAAATATTAGGAATTAGGGGCCAAAAAAGGGGCAAAAAAGAAGCATTTTTCTAGTTTCATGACAATAACTTGTGTGTAAGTGTATGGATCTTTCTGAAATTGTACTACAAGGTTCAATACCACAAAAGGAAGGCTGGAATTGTGTTTGGGGGTAATTGCCCAAAACGTTAAGGAATAAGGAGCCAAAAAGGTGCCAAAAATAAGCATTTTTCTAGTTTCCAGACAATAACTTGTGTTTAAGTGTATGGATCTCTCTGAAATTGTACTGCAAGGAATCATACCACAAAGGGAAGGCTGGGATTGATTTTGGGGGGTAATTGCTTCAAAATTTTAGGAATTAGGGGGCAAAAAAGGGGCAAAAAACAAGCATTTTTCTAGTTTCAGGACAATAACTTGTGTGCAAGTGTATGGATCTTTATGAAATTGTTCTCCAAGGTTCCATATCACAAAGGGAAAGCTGGGTTTGAGTTTGGGGGTAATTGCCCTAAACGTTTAGGAATTTGGGGCCAAAAAGGGGCCAAAAAACAAGCATATTTCTAGTTTCCAGACAATAACTTGTGTTCAAGTGTATGGATCTCTCTGAAATTGTACTGTAGGTACCATACCACAAAGGGAAGGCTGGGATTGATTTTGGGGGTGCTGAATCATAAGGGGGTTCAAAAAATTTGGGGGGGGGGGGGGGGATTTTTTTTTCTTTAAAATTTTCCATTTTAAATTGGATATTTCTGATTTATATATAAAAGCAAATAATAATGATATGGTTTGAATAGGTAAATTGAAAATTTTTAAGTTCTTAGACCTGTCATTCTGTGTCAGAAACCTGTGCTTTGTCCAATATTTAATTACAATCCAAAGTCAGTGCTGTATCAAGATTGAATGTTGTGTGCATACTTGCCCCAACTGTTCAGGGTTCGACCTCTGCGGTCGTATCAAGCTGCGCCCAGCGGAGCACTTTATTGTGAACTGTAGTCATACAACATTCATGGCAAGCTTAGGCTGCAATCAAAAGCTAGATTTTTAAAGAGTCTCATAAGCACTAATAATTGAATGTATCTTTTTTGTAGAAAAGATGGTTATAGAAGTAATTCCTGATAAACTTTACTCAAGTGGTGCATCAAACAGTTACAGAATCCAAGCTATTCCTGTATATTTAAGAGGTAGAGTAAAGTTTAATCAAACTGCTGAAACCATACTGTATAGTAAGCGAAAAAAAAGTCTAATCCCTTCTCTATTACTTAAAGCACATTATGCTTATCAGTACAAGAATAAATACAATACACATTTATCACACAAAATGGCATAATACATTAGAGAAGCATATATACATTAATTATTGCCCATACAGTTTAGTCCTATGATTAAATGTATTAAATAAGAATTAACACAAATTATGCTAATCAAGATATGCACCAAACAGTTTCAAAATTCAAGGCCATACTTTAAAAAATCCTTGTTTAATGTTGCCTTTCTGTGCCTTGTAGGGTTGGGTAGGTAGGTAGGGATTTATTTTTTTTTGGCCAACAAAAAAAGTTACATGTTTTAGACAAGAAAACTACATAAGAGCAGGAAAAAATCTTAAAATAAAATTTGAAAAGATTTGTCATAAAATTTTTCGGGTAGGCTGCTTTTTAAGTGGGTAGGTAGGCAACATCAAACAATTGAAATTTTATTTTTGGCCCAAGCTATCTCTGCATATTTATATAAGAGAAAGGGTCTGGTAACGGCGATATATGCCAGTCAAGGCCTGATCTAAAAGGCTAATGACCAAAGTGGTATCTTGGATATAGGTCATGAAAAATCGCTTTTTACCTGTGTTCACACCTGACTGGAGAATGTAGTGAACGAGATCAGAACTAATGTTATAAAGAAACTCTATTCCATGACAAGTTAGGCCATAGTAATTATATTTTTAGTTTTGCGAAATTTTCTTACAAAACCAATGTGCAGGAGGACGAAAAAAAAAATTAAATAAGAATTAATACAAATTATGCTAATCAAGATATGCACCAAACAGTTTCAAAATTCAAGGCCATACTTTAAAAAATCCTTGTTTGATGTTGCCTTTCTGTGCCTTGTAGGGTTGGGTAGGTAGGTAGGGATTTATTTTTTTTGGCCAACAACAAAAGTTACATGTTTTAGACAAGAAAACTACATAAGAGCAGGAAAAAAAAAAAAAAGATTTTCATTCTTTTTTTTTTTGGTTAATTCACGGACATCTATAAAGAAAAGAATGGATAGGAGGAAGAAGAAAAAAAAATTCCAAACAAAAGACCTTCCAAAAACAAACTGCAGATCTTCACAAATGATGAAATGCGCTTATGCTGTGACCATGGATTGATTTAACTTACTCTTTAAAATATGTCAGTATCTTTGTGCTTTATCTGGAATTAAAATGAATTCTAATTCAAGTAATACTTTTTTAATTTTTATTACAATATAATAGTCTTGACAATGACAGTTCAATTTTTATTTTATTGACGTTTTAACTTTTTTGGCATTCCTGGTCGCAAGTTTTATTCCTCTACCAATGCATCTTTCACATAGGGGCCTCACAATACTGAAGTCTTCCTTGAGCTGAACTATTTCAGGATCACTAGCAAAGTCTTCAAAGTCCTGCAAAAAAGACAAACATCATTGAAAACCTGTGTGATACATGTACCTATTTAAAATAAAAGATGAAAACAAAATCCCAGAAATTGTTTCATTCATTTCATGCCACTTTTTCTGCCTTGTACATTTTTAAAATATTTAATAGGAATTTTGTTTAAAACTGAAAAAATACAATTTATACAGGTTGGGAACAACCCCCCAAATGAGGGAAATCCCTTAAATGAGGGACTGTCCCCCAGACAAGGGGTCATTTTGCTGTTGTATGAATAAAAAAAGAAAAACTTAGCTTTTTTAACTTAAAAGGGGAAAAATCATTATATTTGGAACAACTTTTCTAAAAGAGTGATCCACTTATTTTTAATTATAAAGAAGATATAAGTCCATGCATATTACAAAATTCTTGGACATGTTTTGACCATATAATACCAGATAGATGTATAGTTCTTTAGGAAAAGTTTCTTCAAATAATATAAATATGTGCCCTTTTGTACTAAGAAGTGGTTTTTACAAAAAGTTGTTCCCAACCTATTAGATTCCAAAATTGTTAGAGTGTTTGTGTATGTGGAAATTGATTCCCTTCTCTAGGAGACATTTAAATGATATCCTGGGGCAAAATTTGACAGACTATCCTAAGTAACTTAGATTCAGTCAGAGAGGACTTTTTACTATTGCCTACTAATAAGTTTTTTTTTTCACATATGATATAGAAACAATTCTCAATAAATATTTTCATGCATTTCACCAACACACAAATGTTGCATACTTTTATAAGAATTGCTTTTCATCTTAATGTAATTCCAATTTAAAACTACATACCTGCAAAAAGACTTTCACAAGACAAGGATTCCCAACAACTATCCACATCGTGCCATGGTGGCCAAAACAATCAAGTCCTTTCTGACATTGATCGCCAAGCGTAAATTCCTATTCTTTCAAGTGCTGCGCAGAGTCGGATAAAAAAATACAACTTAAAACCAAATTAATTTTTTTTTCAGAGCAAAGCACCGCGATAGGCGGAAAAATTTTTTTAAAAAAATTGTTGTTTTTCCAATTCGGCAAAATTTAGGGTCGGCGGATTCGTAAAACTAAAAATAAAATAACTATGGCCTTACTTAATTTTTTATATTTTCAGCAAAGACTATAGACAATTCCAATTAATTAACGTAAAACTTTTGTTGAATTATATAGAAAAAAGTAATTTTTCACGAGTTAAACTTGTGCTTTCTTAACTTTGTAGTACGCATGCTTGCAAGTGTCCTCACTAGATTAGACAATCAGAGAATGCAAAATAATTGCCTGCCAAGTAAACCAGTGAAACTATTATTGGTCATATTCAAACACTTTTACAGGCAATAAAATTTAGAATATAGTAATTTCCTGCCATTTGATCAACAGAACAAACCCCCTAGATGAATCCAGAATCATTTGTAATTTATAATTATAAACTTGAAACCATAGCTGTCAACTGACACCCGAGAATTTCCCCCTTCACGCAGGATTTTTAAAATACCCGTTGGGTATTCAAATAACCCAGGATTTCAGAAAATGACCTGTTTTCACCCGTATTTCTGACCGGTATTTAGAAGTCAAATTTACTTTTCTCTGCATTTTTCCTTTGAAAAGGTAAACAGTTGAAATTAGAATTTAGGTCTTTACCATGCCAATGACAGCTATCAAAACATTATATTTGATTGAAAAGTAACAATTCGAGGATTGTTTGTTAATTGTACCCCAGAAAGTTGAAGCCAGTCAAGCTTGGCATACAATTCAATTCTATGTTCTGATTAAAAGATTTGCCGTTTGCAAATATCCTCAATCCTAAAAAAATCATTTTAAAACAATTTGAACCTTTTAATACATTTCTGTTGGAGAGAATAATTTTGTTATCACTTAAATGTAAAAGCTTTAAAACAAATCCATATGCTCTAGATATAACAATGAAAGGAAACACACTAACTTCTTTATATTTATCTTCCTCCTGTGTATAGGAGCACATTAGCTTTAATTGATTTCTAATTACATGTATAGCTGGGGTTTATGACATTCATTAATAAAAAGAAGTAAACTAGTGTGAAGAAAACAATAAAAGGGCATTGCTTTAGAAAGATATTTAATTAATGATAAATGTTTATATACTTAACAAATACAAAAGTGATTATTTTTAGGAAACTCAGTGGTATATGTATATGTTATAGTACTGTAAATTCAGAAATTATTGCGAGGTTTTTATTAACGCGAATAATGCGACTAGGATAGTATCGCAATAATTAGAACTCGCATTATGATATTTGATACACACATCTATGTGCAGATTTTCATGAAATCGCAATAATTAATCTCGCATTTGTGTCCACTCTTCAAAAATCGCAATAATAAATGCACGCATTAATTTCTGAATTTACAGTATATAAAAAAAAAACTCTCAACACTAAAATTGGACTGAAAAAGTTCGTACGCGTTATGACCTGACATTTTTTTCTTCAATGCAGGTCATGATTTTCAGTTTCAGAGGTTGACAGGTATGCTTGAAACTTCCAGTTGTTATTTCATTTCTTCAAATCGAAAGAAGGGTGGTTGCTTCCTGAGAAATTTACAGTTTTAAGTCATTAAAGTTCAAGCACTCTTACACATTTTAAATACCCCCCTTGCAAACAAAGTTTTTGGGGAGGGGTATTTAGGAATCAGCATGTCCTTCTGTCCGTCGGTACCTCTTTGTGTCTGGCTTATAACTTTTGTACTATAAAACTTAAACAAACCTGGTATGCAGTTGTATCATGAAGTGGGGTTGTGTCATATACCAAAGTCAGGTCACCCTGACTTAACTATGATCTTTGACCCCTATGATAGTAAAACCTTGTCCAATTCATGTCTGGCTTTTAACTTTTGTACTGTAAAACTTAGGTTAACATAACTTGGTATGCAGTTTCATCATGGGATTTGGGTGTGTCATATTTCAAAGTCAGGTCACTCTGACCTTGACTTTGACCTTTGACCCCTATGGAAGTAAAACGTTGTCTGATATGCGTTTGGTGCATAATTTTTGTACTGTAGCACTTAGATTAACAAAACTTTGTATGCAGAAGCATCATAGTGACCTTGACTTTGACCTTTAGTTTCTGAATTTACGCTATACAAACCTTAGATTTTATTCCTGAATCAGTATAATTTTGTCAGATTGACCTATCAGTCCCCATGTGTCAACCTATCACAGAGGCAACGATTATATAAAATGAATGGCTGAAAGCAAAAAAATTTCAAAATATCATTGACTCAATACTGATTTCAAAGCAGCAATTTAAATGTATTAGTCCCGCTATTTGGACAGCTTTAAAAATAGTTACAAAAACGGTAAAAAATGTCAGGAAATAAATGCTGTGAAACTGTCGATAGAAGATCATTTATGCCATGACTTCTAGTATGAATTGGACAAGTTGAAAAAGAGACTCAAATGTTCGAGGGCTCTAAAAATGACAGAAATTGTGTGAAAAAGTTTCCAAGTCCTTGTTTTAGAAGTATAGTTACCGGTAAGTCTATTCAAGGGATGCACAAAATAACAGTTATAGAATTCAAGTTACCTGTATATCTGTACATTTAATAGCTATAATTAAGTCTATTCAAGGGATGCTCCTATTTACAGTTACAGAATTCAAGTTATACCTGTACATTTAATAGGTATAGTCAAGTCTATTCAAGGGTCGCACCTATTAACAGTTATACAATTCAAACTAACCTGTAAGATTAATAGGTATAGTTAAGTCTATTCACGAGCACCTAATAGTTACAGAATTCAAGTTATACTTGTACATTTAATAGGTATAAGTTACAAACTAGTATAAAATTCACAAGTCGCATAAGTGAAGAAAAAGTTGATTTCCTAGACACAACGGTAGTTAATAAACAAGGAAAACTACATACTACTCTATACACAAAGCCAACAGATGCGCACCTGTACTTACACTACAATTCATGTCACCCGAAACACCAAAAAGAAAGTATTCCATTCAGTCAAGCACTAAGAATAAGACGTATTTGCACACAAATTAATGATTTCGAATTTCACACAAGCCTCATGAAAGAACATTTCCTGAATCGGGGCTATCCCTGTCAGGTTGTCGAATCTGCTATCTCCAAAGCAAAATCCGTAAACCGAAATGATCTCTTAAAACCGAATCAAACTGACCAATTCGTGAAGCCAGATATAATTCCATTAGTAATTAACTACCATCCAAATATAAAAAATCTTAACAGCATCATCAACCAGAGGAAAGATATCCTCAACAGGACCCCTGACACACAAACCCTCGCTACACAAAAACTCATTATCTCATACAGGCGAGCCTTATCAATCAAACAAATACTAGTGAAAACCGAAATTGTACCCAAAGAAACCCACAAGGGGAGCCACCCCTGTGGGAAGAAATTGCTATCTCTGTAAATTAATGAAAACCGCAGAAAGTGCAAAAAGTACCGTGAACAGCTACAAAATAGATATAAAACACGAAATCACATGTAACACAGAAAGTGTGGTTTATTTACTTGAATGCAAAAAATGCAAGAAACAATATATTGGACAAACGGGAAATAGTTTAAAAGAAAGATTTAGAGGACATTTACAAGACATTAACACTGAAAATAAAAATAAGCCAGTCTTGAAACACTTCACTTCGAATGGTCACAATAAGAACGACGTCACCATAACAGGCATAACTACCACGGAACACAACATAAACGTTAGACTCCGAACTGAAGAAGCTCTTATACACAAATTTGGAAGTACCGAACCTTGTGGACTGAATAGAAGATATGGCTAATACTAAAATAACAAAAAGAAAGGAAACTACTGGAATATTCAAACCACGATTCAAATGTAAAAAGTGCCCAAAGACATTCTGCAGCATATCAACCCTCAGAAGACATCACAAAGAAATCCACGGACCAGTCTCCACATTGTTTGAGTGAAAACATTGTGTCGCGACTTTTACCAGAAAATCGAATGCTATTACACACCTGAAATCCAAACATCCAGAGAAGGCTATAGAAGATTACAACAGTATTCAACACAATCCATGGGAAATGGCAAAAGCCGTAGAAAAATGGAGACCCCCCTTTGAAGCCGTCCAAAAAAAGGAATGGAATGGGAAAACCCCAACATTTAGAATAGTAGCAGGTAAATCACCCTATGAAGACCAGCAACCTTCCACTTCAAGACCACAAAGACCATCAAGCAGCATCCTTGAACAAGACTTATACCTATCAGACTCAGATACTTCTCTTTCAAAGAATACACTGCAATACACAACAAATGAATATGGTTACGTTATGGACCTAACCAAGGAAGATTACATTGACCTCACAACAAGCAGCAGCGATGTAACAATTTGTCTAGATGAGCTACCAGAACAATTATGGGACAGACACATTTTTGTACATTCAATTTATAACATTTTCAGCTAAGGCATTAATAACATAGACTCAATACATGAACAATTTTATTTTGTTTTACTTTCATTTTCATGTTGACAATCTATTTATATTTTTTCTATTTATACTTTCACTTTCACTTCCTCTTTCATAACTACCACTATACTATGACGTTGTCTTTAGACAACCCGATTTTATACTTAAGCATGCTCGATGTATTATTTGTATCCCGATGACGGTGCCCTAGGCACCGAAACATGTCGATAAATAAATTTTCTGCAGCAGTCCCTAAAGTATTGTTGTTATAAGACTTTTTACATTTTTACATTTAATAGGTATAGTTAAGTCTATTTGGGCGCATTACATTTGCACATTTGGGGATTAAAATTTTTTATGTTTGCTTGCAGGTTTTGTTTACATTTACACGCATTCATTTTACAGGTATTCCGATAATACCAGAATAGACTTGGAGAACGTTAATGAATTTATGTTCTTAAACCAGTTGGTTTCAAATATTCAGCCTGTACCTACATGTATAATCGGTACTATTACTCTTAGGATTTGCTATGGTTTTATAATTTTACTAAGATCTACCTGTATTATCCGAGTTTACCTGTAAAAGAAATGCACCCAAATGTAATCAAAAGCTGTGTGCAAACCTAATGATTTTTGCGCACAAATGTAATGGTAATGCAGGCAAATGTAATGCACCAGTCTATTCAAGGAATGAAACCTATTCACAGTTATACAATTCAAACTATATTGTACCTGTATTTTTAATAGCTATATTAAAGTCTATTCAAAAGATGCACCTAACAGTTACAGAATTAAAGTTATACCTGTACATTTAATGGGTGAAGTTAACAGAAACTAACACATTTGAAACAGTTGAAATCATGGACAGGAATTGCCTGACAAGATACACATTTGACAGTTTTGATTGCTCCAAAAGCAATTCAATAAGACTCTTGTTGTCTCGAACTCTGTTGACTTGAAATTCCGCATGTGTCTAAATATTTACAGTAATTAATTTAGATTTGCTCTGTTTGAGTTTAATTTCGATAAGTGGAAACTGCATGACTGAACTAAATCTGTGGTTTAATAGTATAATAAACAATGTAAATTTTGTTTGATATGTCAAAATGTTTCACACTTGTCAAAAATGCAGATAGAATGTCTTTACCATGCTAATTTACAATATACCTGTAACTTTATCTGGTAGTCAGTATTTTTGTTTATGTATGATTAGTATGAAATAAGGAGATGTGGTATGATTGGCAGTCCAAACAACATGGATTTAAACTGTCACCTTACAGCTTTCAACTATGAGAAAAACCCATACCTTATATTTAGTTATGAAAAGCATGATAAAATGTGAAAACCATTAAGACAAAAGAACTAACAGGCTGGTTTTTTACAAATCATGTATATTATCTACCTAATTCATGCTCAATTAGATATAAACAGGTTTTTAACATCAAAGTGATTGTTCTAATTATCATGCACTGAAAGGTCATGTGCATAATGTAATCTTGGGTCAGATGTATTTGTTGATGTAAAACTTTTGTCAATTTAAAATCACACTTTTTTGTAAAATTTAGCATTTTTTCCAGTTGAGAAAAGTTTAATCCAACTCTTTTTATAAATAAACAAACACAGATATAAAAATAACTGTTGTCTGAAATACAAATATTAAAAAACAAAATTTTAAAGGATTCATCTCTACGACCTTTCACACCTTGAAATATAAAAACCTTCACAAGTAGAAAAAACTGCAGAAAACAAAAACACTATCTCAAATGAAAAACGGGAATAAGAATGATGTCCACTTACTAGTGAGATTGTATCAACCGGAAACACAATACTGGTTTGATCTTGAACAAATTCCAATTATCTCCCCTTGATAGTTTTCTTGTAAGTTCCTTTTGAGTCAAACTTTGGTTGAAAGGAGTATGTTCGATAAGGCCCAAATATGGCCCCTATTCTAGCTTATTTCTAAAGTTATGATTTAAAGGCCACAATCACAATGTAATAATACTTTAACAATGATAAGGTAGGAAATAGACATTTTTGTTTGAAAACTTACATTTAAGCGGTTTTTTTTTATGACTTCATTAATAGCATACATTTAAAAAAAAATTGCTACAAATTCAATGAAAAGTCAACAAACAAGATTTGTTCACATTGTTTGTTATAACAGATGATCTCTCATATGAATTTAACATTTAGTTTGTCGTAACCAGTGCTCTATTTCCTAGGCCTAATTGTGCTTGAAATCAAAAAAGTTTGTCAATTTTCACAAAAATCTCTATTTTCGACTTTATTAGGATAGAACTTGCCAGGCTTTGTAAGAAAAACTTGACAAAAATTCTCCTGTTTCACTTTCTAACACATATATACATCAACTTGAAACACTTTTCATCTTGAAATAATGTACTTAATATTTATGGTCTAAAAAGGCCATTACCAAACTTACTCCTTTATCTCTGTCCCGTAAGTTCCAGATGAGGAAAGGCAATTATGTGTTTTTATCAAGAAAATGTTTTGTAATTTATTTCAGTTTACCCTCATATGAATTTCTTTCAGATCTTTATATTTGTGACATTTGGGGACTTTGTTGTTGAAAGTCTCTCTGAAATTTATGTAAAACTTTTAAAGCTTGACATTGTGTAGACATTGTGTTTCATTTGGTTGCAGCTTCATAGATTTATACATTCAATCCACTTTTACTAATATAAACTCTGGTGTTTTTATCTTTCTGTATTGTTGTATGACCTTAATTTTATGTTTGATACAGTTACTTTGTCATCATGCTTCAGTGCCTTGGTTAAGTTTAAGTTGAGGTTCATTTTTTAGAAATCTATTATAATTAAGAAATGATATTTCATCAGACTGAGTATAGTTTTTATATATAGTAATTAAACTTTGGTAAGTAACATTTAGAAGACTGTTATATACATTTTTCTCATAGCCTTACCATTATGTTTACAGATGACATAACAAGAGGTGTTGAGTTGGGAGAGAAATACAACGTGATCGGACTTATAAGGAAAGATATAATGGGAGAAAACATCATGTTAACTATAGAGGTAATTTGTTTAGGTTAGATGGCTGGAATAACCTGAAACCAACAACATTTTTCAAGTGTACATTTTTTTTGCTTTCCTAGGTGCTGCATATTAAGATCATTGTGAAAATTAGAACACTTAAGAGGTCCATCTTTCTTTTTCAAATACATTATAATTTGTGGCTTCTGAAAATGAGACATAGTGATCCTACTTTCGGTCATTGGCATTGGCCTTCTCAACATGTTGGTTCAGTCTCCGGTTAACGTTTTTTTATAGAAATGAATAACTTTGTCAGACCTTCAAGAAATTTTACGGTACTTGGTCAGCTTTTTCAGGATCAAAAGACAGTATTCAGAGTAACACATCTTTTATCATTTTCTGTATTTCACTGATAAATGGACTTGTCCTATAGCTTTTTTTTTTTGCATTTAACATTTAGATACAATTGGGGTTTGGCTTTGAGAAATCAATAACTTTATCTTACCTTCATAGAATTTTATGAAACTGATAAGCTTTTTTAAGATTAAAAGATAACATTTACAGCATTTTTTTCTCATTTTTCTGTATTTTACTCATAGATGGACATGGATTAAACATTTTACTTTTAGACATTAATAATTTTGTCAAACAGCCATGTAATTTTACGAAACTTGGACAGAAACTTTTATATGATACAGAAATAGATTCTGAAGAATTATTTTGTTCTTCAATAAATGACATGATAAATGTACTATGTATTTTGCAGTCAACATTACACTTTTACAATAACATCAGCAATCAAAGGCAAAACACAGAATTCTAAAAACTAAGGATTTCTTTAAGTGGAAAACCATTTAAGATTTTTCAAATCAATCATTTACAATTCATTTAAAGAATGCCACCTTCCTCAAATCAATCATTTTCAATTCCTCAACATGCTCAAATCATCCAGTTTAAAGAGGCAGTAGCTATGACAGTCATGAATTTTTTAAGCCGTGAAAATGCGTTATATTAATGAAAAATATAATTTGTGTTATCTTCAGGAATCTAATGATTGTAAGTAAGAGCGAGAACGTATTTTTTTCCCATCATTGAGACCAGAGCTCATTAGTTATGCAATAATGTACACCAATGTCACAAGTGTTGACCTAGACCTTCTTGTAGCACGTATTTACAAATAAGAAAAGTAATAATAACTTTAATTTTCACTTTAGTATTCGAATTGAATTCATTTCATTTACCTGATACACTCTTTTTTCAAAGATTTTATATAATCAATTTGTAAAATTATTACACTTTTGAAAGTATCGTATGCAAATTAGAGTTAATGAGGCTTAGTAGGGGTAATTGTTATTATAGAGTTATTTAAAATTCCTCACAAATTTTTAATATTATCAACTGAAATGCCAAAGTTAAATGCATAAAAAGTTGATCAATAATTTTAGAACGATTTGTTTAATGTATGTTATACATTTTGGCTACCTGTTGTATCAGTTTCTTATGTTTTTTTATCAGTCAGGGGCGTTACTTAAACAAGTTATTTTTTTTAGTTACTTATATAGGTAAGTTTTGTTTTTAAAAATTGTTAAATTACTCAATGGAGTTATTTTAAATTTCAATAGAGTTGCGGAGGGTATAATGTTTTTGACCCGTCCGTCCGTCTATCTGTTCCTCCGTCCATCTGTCCGTCCGTCAGTCCATCAGTCCTGTTTCTTGTCATCGCAACTCCTCTCAAACCACACAACAGAATTTCACGAAACCCTTTTAGATAATAAGGACATACTATGTAGTTGTGCATATCGACAGGAAATTACGATTCAATTATTTTCCAGGAGTTACGCCCCTTTGAACTTATTTACTTTAATGAACTACTCAACAGTTTGTCATCGCAACTCCTCTCAAACCATACAACAGAATTTCATGAAACCTTTTCAGATAATAAGGACATACTACGTAGATGTGCATATCGACAGGAAATTACGATTCAATTTTTTTCCAGGAGTTACGCCCCTTTGAACTTATTTGCCCAATATACTACATATACTGCAACCTTTTGTCATCGCAACTCCTCTCAAACCACACAACAGAATTTCATGAAACCTTTTCAGATGATAAGGACATACTACGTAGATGTGCATATTGACAGGAAATTATGATTCAATTTTTTTTTCTGATTAAAATTTTTTCTTTACACTTATTTTATTTCTCCAATGACAATGTGGGGACGTGAGGTATGTGAGCGCGCTCACTAAGGTTCTTTCATATTACATGAAAGTAAGAATTTATAACGTTTGAGAGGAATATAGAGATTATGGGATACTTTAAAAATAATGACAAAAATATTACTTGTATAAGTTATTTTATACATCTTTGAAAGAATTTGTAGTTTCAATTATTCAAGGAACATATATTATTGTTTTGGGTTGCAAATTATAAATGACTTCAAGTCTTAATGAAATCACAAGTTTCCATCTAATTATCTCTGTCTACCTTCAAAATTTTCAAGGAAAATGATATTTTAATAGTCCCAAATGACCAATCTTTGACCCAGAAGCATCGATATGAAATGTAAGTGCATCAGAAAGGTAATTAGTGTTTCAGGAGAATTCATTTCTATTCTTTATGGGAAAAACAACCAGATGTTTGTGAAAATTTGTTAAAGCTAGTAAAATCTGTATGAATGGACACCTATAAAAATAATTTTTACAAAAGTTACTTAAATAAGTAATTTTTAAAATAGCCTCGTTTTCAACATTACTTGTATAGGTAATTTTGAAAGTTACTTGTTTAAGTAATGCCCTGACTGTTTATAGTATTTTGTTTTGTCATTATTACGTTTTAATTTGTCGTGTACCCTTCACTGGGCCTCTTGGCTGATCACATTTGTTTACATTAAATTATTCTTCTGTAAAATCTGATTTCCCCAATTTATCTTATCGAAAGCCACCAATGGGTCTTCAACACAGCGAGAAAATCCTGCACCTGGAGGCAGACTTCAGCTGGCCCCTTAACAAAAATGTGTACTAGTTCCGTGAAAATGGACGTCATACTAAACTCCTAAACATATAAATGAACTAAAATAAAAAAAACATACAAGACTAACAAAGGCCAGAGGCTCCTGAAATCCACAAAATCTTGTTTATCACAGAAAACATGGAAAACTTTACCAATTTGCTCAAAACATTGCAAAACGAAATTTGTAATTTTATTTTGATTTTGTTAACTTCCATATACTTATTGACCAAATATTTTTAACAAAAAGGAGTTTCTGGTTTTAGAAGTGTATTAAATGTTTAATAATGCTACCATAGGTTGATGCAGAAGGTGGTTGAGGGTCAGGGGCAAAGGAATGGCTCCCCCCTTTCTTCCATTTTTTGAATAAGATTAAATCAAAGAAAATTAAGATTCAATCCACCTTTCCATGTGAAATCCTCTATATCAACCTTGAAGAATTGTAGATCTGGGGCAGTAATAAAAATATTAAACATTACGAATCATGTTTTGAAGCAAAAGCATGTCCTTTTTTTCGAAGCTTTTGGGTTGCTTCATTAATCAAAACAGAATTGATGAGATATATAATATGTAAATAGCATTAGCCATATAAGATTTTTATGCCACTGCTGCTAGGCGAAGGGGTCATTAAATGTTACCCTTGTCCGTCCGTACAGACTTAGGTACGTATGTCCTAAATTGGATTCCGTTCTTTAAATTTAGTTTGCCTTATAACCAAATGTTATGAAACTTACACACAATGCTTATTACTATAAAACAGAGATCAAGTTTGAATTTGAGTGGAGTCACTTTTACAGTTCTCTAGTTATGTCCCTTTATAACGTTATATGCATATGCAAGCGGGGGCATCATGTGTGTCCCATGGACACATTCTCTTTTTTTTTAGCTCACCTGGCCCAAAGGGCCAAGTGAGCTTTTCTCATCACTTGGCGTCTGTCGTCGTCCGTCGTCGTTGTTAACTTTTTACATTTTGAACTTCTTCTAGAGAACCACTGAATGGAATGAAACCAAACATGGCATGAATGTTCTTTATGAGGTGCTGACCAAGTGTTGTTACTTTGTACTTGTAGCCGATCCATCATCCAAGATGGCCGCAAGCAGGGGACTTAGTTTAACATAGGACCCTATGGGAAATACATACAAATGTCTTCTTTTAGAGAACCATTGAATGGAATGAAACCAAACATGGCATGAATGTTCCTTATGAGATACTGACCAAGTGTTGATACTTTGCAGTCGGTCCTTCATCCAAGATGGCCGCAAGCAGGGGACTTAGTTTAACATAGGACCCTATGGGAAATACATACAAATGTCTTCTTTTAGAGAACCACTGAGTGGAATGAAACAAAACATGGCATGAATGTTCCTTATGAGGTGCTGACCAAGTGTTGTTACTTTGTACTTGTAGCCGATCCATCATCCAAGATGGCCGCCAGCGGGGGACTTAGTTTAACATAGGACCCTATGGGAAATACATACAAATGTCTTCTTTTAGAGAACCATTGAATGGAATGAAACCAAACATGGCATGAATGTTCCTTATGAGATGCTGACCAAGTGTTGATACTTTGCAGTCGGTCCTTCATCCAAGATGGCCGCAAGCAGGGGACTTAGTTTAACATAGGACCCTATGGGAAATACATACAAATATCTTCTTTTAGAGAACCACTGAGTGGAATGAAACAAAACATGGCATGAATGTTTCTTATGAGGTGCTGACCAAGTGTTGTTACTTTGCAGTCGGTCCATCATCGAAGATGACCGCCAGCGGGGGACTTAGTTTAACATAGGACCCTATGGGAAATACATACAAATGTCTTATTTTAGAGAACCAGTGAATGGAATGAAACAAAACATGGCATGAATGTTCCTTATGAGGTGTTGACCAAGTGTTGTTACTTTGCAGTCAATCCATCATCCAAGATGGCTGCCAGCGGGGGACTTAGTTTAACATAGGACCCTATGGGAAAAACATACAAATGTCTTCTTTTAGAGAACCAGTGAATGGAATGGAACCAAACATGGCATGAATGTTCCTTATGAGGTGATGACCAAGTGTTGTTACTTTGCAGCTGATCCATCATCCAAGATGGCCGCCAGGGGGGGGGGGGGGGGGGGGGACTTAGTTAACATAGGACCCTATGGGAAATACATACAAATGACCTTCTTTTAGAGTACCACTGAATGGAATGAAACCAAACATGGCATGAATGTTCCTTATGAGGTGTTGACTAAGTGTTGCTACTTTGTTGCCGATTTACTGTTCAAGATGGCCACCAGGATATTTTATTAAATAACGGGACCAATATTAAACCTAATTTGGCCTCAATCATTATTTGGGTATCTGTTATGATTTTTATCTATCTTTACATGATTTCTAAAACCAAAGTAGAGTCAGGTGAGCGACACAGGCTCTTGAGAGCCTCTAGTTTTTAAATGTAATAATGACAATATTTATCAAGTTGCACATTTAAAGGAAAACAAAGAGTTATAAACATTAGTTGTGACAAAAATACAGCTATAAAAACCATGTTAATCATAGCCCTGCTGTCATGGCTAAATTTCCTCAGCAAATATGAAAAACAAACAATATGCATAATAAATATGATGTTGCATGCCTAGATTTGTGTTTTTAATTAGTTTTTTTAAATTCATTTTTTGTGTGTGGCTACATTGCTGTCTTGTTGCTACATATATATATATTCATATCTCCTTTCATTGATATGGCAGAATGAATGATTGATTGTTGTATGCTTTACGTCCAAATGTAGATATTTCATGCATGTTCAGGCTGAGAACAAATAAACAATGAATACAATAGGTAGGTCCTGTAATAGAGGTCGACTATGATGATGGGGAAACAGCCACTCAAAAATGAGGGCATATTGGATAGGGACAGAAATTTCCCTTGCTACAGACCACCTACTTACCCTAGAGTTTTTCAATTTTTATGCCTCTGCCTTATGCCCCCGTCGTAGGCAACAGTGGCATTAAGTGTTACTCTTGTCCGTCTGTCTTTCTGGCCGTCCCATTTTCGTTTCTGCACTCTTACTTAAGTTTGCCTAATGAAAATTTTATGAAACTCGTACACAATGTTAAGAACCACAACACAGAGAGAGAGTTCGAATTTGGGCTGTGAGTCATTTACCGTTCTAGAGTTGTGCCAATTTTAAACTTTGAAATTGCAAAGTTTGAAAGGGGCATTCGTGTCCTCAGACACATTCTACTTTTATTTTTTGTATGAAGGCTGCAAACAGTTTTTGTTTCAAAATTCCAATAGGGAACACATTTTAAACGTCTTAAAAAATGGTTTAATTACTACAATTATTACAATTTTTGATAAATCTTTAGATTATTAAGTCATCAAATGTTTCAAGGGAACTTTAATTTATTTATTGGACACACATGAACAAGCTCAGCAGTAATTTTATTTCTGAATCATCAAAAAGATATAATTGGTTTATTATTTTTGTACTTTTTTAGGCAAACAACATCATGAAGGTAAGTACAAATAAATTGTTTACAAAATGTTTTCAGGGGAATTTTTACTTGACATATACAGTATTTAACTGCAATTGGTCAACAAAGGGTATATCTATTTTAACGGTCCACTGAACATAGAAAATGATAGTGCGAGTGGGGCATCCGTGAACTATGGACACATTCTTGTTTTAAACTTTGGAATCTTTCAAAAAGTCTTTCGGTCTTTGAATTATTTTACGGCTTAGCCACAATCAGATGTACATTTTGTGTTTCACATGAAGTCAAAAATGAAGATCACATCAGGCAAAAACCCTTTTGATATTTTGGTACAGAAATGGTTTAAATTATGAAAAATGGCTGTCATAAGGCTAACACTTGAAGCATTTATATAATTACATGCAGTTTTGGGAAGAAATATTTAATTTTTTTATTAAATAAATGGTGTTTTAAAACTGTCTAATTTTCTTTAATGGTTGCCTTCAAGACATGGTCACCAATTTCAAATTTTTGGCCAATCACTAAGACAACAAAATATGTTTAGAATTATTGAATATCAAACATTTTAATCGAAAAAAAATGACAAGAACATGTTTAACTCACAATTATTTCAAACAACAGTAGCTTTCTTTGATCATTACTCTGATCTGATCAAACTATTTCTAAAATAATCTATTAATAACAAAACTTAAAAAAAAAACCTTTCTTTTGGTGTATAGAACATTAAAATAACTTGATGCATATTCTTACAATAAACAATCAAAGTTAGCAATACAATTTATATGTTTTGTCTACGGACAAGACATTTTATTGATATTTAGTTAAATGCATTATTAAAACTTAGTTTTGACATAGTTGAATATGTTCTCTTGACAAAATAACATACATTTTATCATGTTTATCTATCAAATGATGCTGAACCTTGAGGAAATTGGAAACAAATACATTGTGATAATGTCTACGGACAAGACATTTTATTGATATTTAATTAAATGCATTAAAAAGATAATTGTTAAAATTAAGATTAAGTTACCCATTTAATTTTAAGCTGTGTTTTTTTATTTTTGGAAAATATAAAAATGTACCCATGATTCTTTACATATCTCAAAATTTTATTGATTAAGCAAAAATGAAGACGCATTCTTTCAACTGAAATCCATAAGTCTGACTGTTTAACAATTAAACTTTTATTAAAACTCAATTTTGACATAGTTGAATGTGTTCTCTTGAAAAAATAACATACATTTTATCTATCAAATGAGGCTGAACTCAAGGGAATTGGAAACAAATAGATTGTGGTAATGTCTACGGACAAGACAATTTCAGTTGAATAAAAAATCTGTTAGAAATAATTGTGATTATATTTATGTTGAAAATACTGAGTTTTAATGTGTTCAAAGAACTTTCATCACCTATAAATTAGATTTAAGTTCCAAAGTAGACAAATAATTGAATTTAATACTTGTTATGAACAAGTGTCTTGTCCGTAGACACTTCCTCATCTGCTGGTAATCCTAAAATGCAAAAGATAAAGTCAGAGAGAGAGAAATACTATTCTTCATTTGATTAAGTTTATCTTTTAAGTTATGAAGAAACTGGAATAATAATATTGAAGTAAAATAAGGTATGCTTTTTATGACTGACAATTTGCCACTTTTTAAAATCCACTCCTGTAAAGTAATTTTACAAAAAATGAGAACAGTTAAATAACCATTAATTAACCAAAAATAAAATATTTCTAAGTTTAAACAACACATAGGAACAATTTAGATCCATAAAGCCAAGCAATATTGATATAAATTCATGTCTACGGACAAGACATGTGTCTACGGACAAGACATTCTGACATTTTTTTCAAATTCTTCCTCTATTAAAAGATGGTAGAAATTAATGTTTGTAGTGTTTTCATACCTACAAAAGAGCAGGAACTTAGCAATGCAACATTTATGTTATTATACTTCAAGTTTACTAGGAAATGCATGTCTACGGACAAGACATTTTTTCACTTTATTTGTATATCCATTTTAGATGGCATATATCTCCAGCTAGGGTACTGCAATATAGATATATGAGGTAGTTGTTGCTAATTCATATACAAGAAGAGAAAACAAAACACATAATAGCATAAATTTCATTTATTTTTCTCTTTTATTATTACACTATACAAGTTAAAAACAAAAATACAAAATTGCATAACGAACACATAGTATTCCACTTTTTATCATAACTTTGTAACCACTGAAGTTTTTTCGTTGTAACAACCAGCAAAAGAAAGATGAATAAATTGTCTATAACAGTGAACCAATAATGTAGTTCAAATTAGGTTCACTTATTAACTATCAGTTGATAAAAACAGTGTATTTTTAAATGAAACAACATAACGTGAAATTTTGCCCATTTTTAGGGTGTATTTAGTGTTTTTTTTTCAAAATGGTCACACATATACATGATATTTGATATGCATTGTGAAGCCCTATATTCTTTCTTTCAGTTCAAAGATGTAATACTTAAATTAAGTTCACCTTCTTGTCTATAGAAGCCTATAACATAGACCTAATAAGAGATGTACATCTGATTGTGGCTAGGCCGTTAGGTTTTAACAAAATAATGTTGTATTTCTGAACTTTTGGCATCTGTTTGAGGGCTTAGATTTGGCTCCAAACTGCAATTTTGATAGATAGATTTTAGTAATTATTTTTTCAGTAAAAACAAAATGCTATGAACAAATTGTAACTTTCTTGTTCAATATGTTATTTTATGTAAAATGTGAACTGTAGTTTTAAACCCATGTAATGTCATTGTTAGGTTTTATGTTGACTTGTTTTGAAAAAGTGACATTACCTAGACTTGAAAAAGTCCTCTGTCATCCATATTAACAGAATATGTGGTAAAAACTTAGAAAATTCCAAAAATGTATGATAGTCGGAAGCCTAAAATCTCTTTGAAAATGTGAAAACATGATTTTAGGAGTGGAAATGACTTTATTCTTAGCTTGGTAAAGGCAATCTTTCTTTGTATGGCTGTTTTTCAAGTTTAAACATATATCTATAAAACTTTGGCAAAAGTCTTCCTCTACTAGTACTGTTGCATACTCACCAGTTGCAAGACATTATTTCAATTAACAGGTGACCTCTGAGACCATACCTAAAATTTCCACTGAAATTCCAAAGATCATCACAGATTTATATGAAGGTAATGCAAATGTGTTAAATTATAAAATATCAAAATTTATGATAGAGCAATGCAGATATAGTGAAGCAGCTTGAAAATAATTTTGAGAATGGGGAACATTGGGTTTAAAAAAATACCAGACATAGGATTTAGAACAACCCACTGAAGAAATAAGGTATGGAAAATGGCAGTGTATGAGACAGACTTATAATAGAAGATTGCATTCATTTGAACACACCATAAATATAGTAAGATATTTATATTTCACTGTTTAGATCAATTTTCTATGTTGAAAGTCAATGTAAGGTTGATCATATGGTAGCAAATACTTGCACCCAAATCTAGTTTGATGTACATATCACTGCGTGAATTTCCCAAAGTAAAATTTGTGGTAGCAATAAATAATTTGGTTTTGAGTATGTCCACATATTATGACTTACTTTTGGACATGCGAGATGATTTAAGGGTTCTCTGCTATAACACCTATCTGGCCTAATAAAGAACACTACCATTGAGTGCTACAGGTGAGGCCCAAAGGCCAACAGAGAATTTTGATGTTATGTACTAATGAACAATACGTCATAAGGCTAGATTGCAGGATTCAGAAGATGAAGAAAAAACACTTTTAAGCTGTTTAAAGTTGATGAAAGTGTTAGTGCAACAAACAAACATATTGGTTTCAAGAAAAAGTTTTTTCTATTATGTTCATCATCAAATAAACTACTTTATCTGTATTCAAAAAGTTATTCTAAAGAAAAAGAAATAAAAAAAAGGAAGACTTTCTTTCACTTTAGCCCTATACTTTTAGAAGAATTTCTCAGTTTTTTATGTTTGCTTTTGGCAAGCCAGAGCACCTGATAGCTTGGTACATGTATATATGAAATTCTTTATGTTTAGATAATGAAAAAAAATGATGACATGTTTATATATTGTTGAGAAATGTTTTTTTTCATTCCAACTAAAAAATACATTATTCTTGTCAAAAAAATTACCTTATCACCTATTGAAAATGTGTGTTCAAGGACTTAACTTGAAATCAATAAATTTCTTCAGGGATTTTATTTCCACTACAACTTTACTGAATGCTTATGAATTTATATCAAAACTTTCACCAGCTAAACAAAACAAAAGTACTTACAGACATAGTAGTCTTAAATGGGGAATTTATTGTTGGCATGCAACTTCTGTCGCAGAAAGTTCCACATAGAGATAGTGATCCAGCGGCGGCAGGGGCGTTAACTATATATAGATGCCTTATGATATGAAGTTTGCGTCTGTCATATGTCCATTGTCCTTGACTTTATTTTCATGGTTCAGTGACTACTTGAAAAAAAAAATAAAGATTTTTTGTAATGTTAATTTCTCTCTTATTATGAATTATAAATAATAGGATAACTATATTTGGTATGTGCATACCTTGCAAGGTCCTCATGCCTGTCAGACAGTTTTCACTTGACCTCGACCTCATTTCGGGGATCAGTGAACAAAGTTGAGTTTTTCGTGGTCAAGTCCATATCTCAGATGCTATAAGCAATAGGTCTACTATATATGGTATATGTAATAATTGTAAGGCGTACATGTCCAACTAGCAGGTGCCATCTGACCTTGACCTCATTTTCATGGTTCAGTGGAAAGTTAAGTTTTTTTGTTTTGGTCTGTTTTTCTAATACTGTATGCAATAGGTCAACTATATGATGAAGACATAAACTTTCAATCAGTTTAATTGAGGTCTAGAGCTGGCATGTCAGTAACTGCTAGTAGTCCTTTGTTCATTTATGTATCATTGTCATTTTGCTTAGTTTCTTTTGTTACCTATTCTGACATCGGACTCGGACTTCTTTTAAACTGAGTTTTACTGTGCGTATTGCTATGTGTTTCTTTATTCTACATTGGCTAGAGGTATAGAGGGAGGGTTGAGATCTCACAAAACATGTGTTTAACCCCGCCGCATTTTTGCGCCTGTCCCAAGTCAGGAGCCTCTGGCCTTTGTTAGTCTTGTATGTTTTTTAATTTTAGTTCATTTATATGTTTTGGAGTTTAGTATGACGTCCTTTTTCACTGAACTAGTACACAATTTTATTTAGGGGCCAGCTGAGGACCACCTCCTGGTGGGTTTTTTTCTCGCTGCGTTGAAGACCCGTTGGTGGCCTTCGGCTGTTGTCTGCTCTTTGGTCGGGTTGTTGTCTCTTTGACATATTCCCCATTTCCATTCTCAATTTTATTTTATATATGGCGTATTGAAATATTTTACGATTAACATGTCAGTCTGGCAGGTTTTAAATGACCTTGACCTCATTTTCACAGTTCATTGCTCAATGTTAAGTTTTTGTGTTTTGGTCTGTTTTTCTAATACTGTATGCAATAGGTCAACTATATTTGGTGTATGGAATGATTGTTAACTTAGGTGTATATGTCTTTCTGGCAGGTATCATCTGACCTTGGCCTCATTTTCATGGTTCATTGGTCAATGTTTAGGTTTTTTGGTTATTTTTATTTCTTAGATACTTTAAGCAATAGGTCAACTATATTTGATGCATTGGAAGATTTTAAGGTCTGTTTTGCAGGGTTCATTTGACCTTGACCTCATTTTCTAGTTCATTGGTCAATATAAAATTTCCATGGTTTGGTCTGTTTCTTTTAAACTATAAGCAATAGTTCGTCTATATTCGGTGTATGGAATGATTGTATTAAAGGTGTACATGTATTTCCGGCTTGGTTTATCTGACCTTGACCTCATTCTCATAAATGTTAATGTGATACTTGTAGTAAAACTTAATATTTAGGGCTATCAACATAAAATCAATGGTCAGTATAGTAGGCGAGACATTTTAGCATGTGCACTCTTGTTTTATTAGTTGTTATTGGCTTTGAACTAGCTGTCGGTAACTGTGAGTTCTCTCAGATCTGTATTTGGTGTCTTTTTCTTGTGGGGATGTATAAGTACCCTGCCACGTCCACTCTGTGTTTTTGTTAGATGTATTTCTACTTTGTATCCATCTGATGAGGTGATCCCTTTTCAACTGATTTTTATAGTCTGTTCTTATGTTGTACTGTTACACCACTGTCCCAGGTTAGGGGAGGGTTGGCGTCTTCAAACTAGTGTAACCCCGCCACATTCTGTATGTGGCTGTCCCGTCATCAGCCTGTAATTCAGTGGTTGTCAATTGTTGATGTATATCATATTTGTTTTTCATTCATTATTTTGTACATATATCAGGCCGTTGATTTTCTCGTTTGAATTGTTTTACATTTGTCATTTCGGGTTTTTTTATAGCTGACTGTGCGGTGTGGGTTTTGATTGTTGCTGAAGGCCGCACAGGGACCTATAGTTGTTAATTTCTGTGTCATTTAGTCTCTTGTTGAGAGTTGTCATATTGGCAGTCATACCACATCTCCTTATTTTTATATAGTAACACAAGGATAAATCAAAGCAAAATAATGTTCCAATAAGGTTTACAGTGTTATGCAGAATATTCGTCACATATAGTTTTTTTTCCCATTGCCCATAAAACTAAGTACTTTCAAAAAAATATTGGGAGATTAATTTTTGGAGGAATTTAATCAACTTGGTATCAATAGAAACAGAATTGACAAAGGTTTATATGTTTATTTTGTTGTATTTTTATGAGAAGCATATTCCTTTTCTGATGATATCAAACACAAATATTACTTTTGTCAGCAAATTGCTATATATTTCAACCAAATTGAATTATAAAAAATAATTTTACATGATAACATCAGGATAAAACAAAACAAAACACAATAGAACCCAAAGTTAAGATTAAATAGATAAATACACTTCAAACATTTCTTTCTTTTTCAACTCATAGTTTGTTAAAATCCAACTATACATGTGTTCAAAATTTTTTTTTTTTTCAATAAATCAAAAAAAAATTCGTAAGGGTTCCACGGAACCCAGTGTCTCGCCTATTTTTGCTGTTAATCGCAGGCTCAACAAAAATGAGGAAAAAAAATTTAAAATATTCCTCTCGATACTATCTTTTGATTGTAAGAAGCTTCTGTCCAAGTTTAGTAAAAATCCAGGATAGTTTATGAATCTAATAAATGTTTTAAAAACTTTAACTGCAGACTGTATTTAATGTTAACTGGAAGAAAAACTAAGTCCATTTATAAGTAAAATACGGAAAAAAAGGAACAAAATTTCCTTCTAGATACTAGCTTTTGATCATAAACAAGCTTCTGTCCATGTTTGGTACAAATCCAGGATAGTTTAAGAAAGTTATTTAAATTTTAAAAACTTTAACCACAGAGTGAATGTAATATTTCCTGGCAGAAAAACTAAGTCCATTTATAAGTAAAATACGGAAAAAATAGATTTTTTTTTTTACAAAATTAACTTCTGGATACTATCTTATGATCATAAACAAGCTTCTGTCCTAGATTGGTAGAAATCCAGGATAGTTTAAGAAAGTTATTAAAATTTTGAAAACTTTAACCATAGAGTGAATGTAATGTTTCCTGGCAGAAAAACTTAAGTCCATTTAGAGGTAAATTACGGAAAAAATGGATTTTTTTTTTTTACAAAATTTACTTCTGGATTCTATCTTATGATCATAAACAAGCTTCTGTCCTAGTTTGGTAGAAATCCAGGATAGTTTAAGAAAGTTATTAAAATTTCAAAAACTTTAACCACAGAGTGAATATTTGTGGACGCCCCCGCCGCCGCCGACGGAATGTAGGATCAGTATGTCTCGCTTTTCCGACAAAAGTCGAAGGCTCGACAAAAACTGTTGACAGTTATGATTTTTCTACTCTCTACACTACACTTCCACACAATCTTATCAAGAAAAAGTTTTCATATTTAATTACTGTGACTTGACTATAGGTGTTGGTGTTTACCTTTACCTAATGTTCAACCAGATTGTAAAATTGACAAAACAATTTGGACATTTCATTCAATTGACCAGTTGGTATTGTTAAGAGTTGACAATAGGTAATCACTCATGCATTTACAGTCTACCTTGATGCTGTCCCATCACTTTACCTTGTGAAATAACATA